GACACATGCTGCAGAGATCTGGATGATCTGGAGCCTGTGGAGGGAGGAGTTTGTGAGGCCGACAAGCAGTGAGTTTGCATAGTTGAACCTCGATGTAATGTAAAGGCGTGTATGAGGATTTTGGCGGCCTTTGGTATGAGACAGTGGCAGAGCTGGGCAATGTTGTGGAGGTGGGGGAAGGCAGAGCAGGTCATGGCGCAGATGTGGGGTAGAAAGGATAGTTGAGGGTCAGACTAGACCCCAAGGTTCCAGACTCGCTTAGTAAGGTGGAGTGTGCAACCATGGATGGTGATGCTGTCAGCGCCTGAGGTGAGAAGGCGCTGACGGGAGCCAATCAGGAGAGCCTCGGTCTTGTTGAAGTTCAACTGAAGAAAGTTAGCTCTCATCCAGGACTTGATGTCTGACACACATTCTGTCAGGACAGCAGTGGTCCGAGAGTCAAGGGTGGAGGCAGAGAGGTAGAGTTGGGTGGCATCCGCCTACATGTGGAAGTTGGCCCCATGTCTGCAGATGATGTCACCAAAGGGGGACCAAGGACAGAGCCCTGAGGAATGCCGCACAGGCCGGTGCGGGGGCTAGAGGAGAAGCCATTTGAGGAGATGAAGTGCAGGCGGTGTGAGAGGTACGATCTGAACCAATCCAGGGCAGCAGCTGGAATATAACGTGGGGCAGTGTGAAGTTATTCACCTAGGTAGTAAAAATAGAAAAGCGGATTATTTTCTAGATGGGGAGAGACTAGGTAGTGTTTGTGTTCAGAGGGATTTGGGTGTCCTTGTACACCAGTCACAAAAAGTTAATAAGCTGGTACAGCAAGCAACTAGGAAGGCTAATGCATGTTGGTGTTCATTGCAAAAGGGTTAAAGTACAAGAGTAGGGATGTCTTGCTACTGTTGTATAAGGCCTTGGTGAGACTGCACCTAGAATATTGTGTGCAGTTTTGGTCTCCTTATTTAAGAAAGGACATACTCACCTTAGATTCAGCGTAGTGCAGGGTAGATTCACTAGGTTGGTACCTGGGATGAGGGGGTTGACCCTTGAGGATAGGTTGAGTAAACTAGGCCTATATTTTCTAGAATATAGAAGAATTACAGGTGACCTTATAGAAACCTATAAGATTCTTAAGGGTCTTGACAGGGTAGATACCATGAGACTGTTTCCCCTGGATGGAGAATCTAAAACTAAGGGTCATAGTCTCAAGATTAAGGGTCAGCCTTTTCGAATTGAGTTGAGGAAACATTTCTTCACTCAAGGGTAGTGAATTTGTGGAATTCTCTATCCCAGAAGGCTGTGGATACTCAGTCTTTGAGCATATTCAAGACTGAAGTTGATAGATTTCTAATGGATAGAAGGATTCAGGGATATGGGGATAAGGCGGGTAAATGGTATTAGGTTAGAAGATCAACCATGATCTTATTAAATGCCAGGAGCTCAAGGGGCCGAATGGCCTACTCCTGCTCCTACATCTTATGATATTAAAGTATAGCTGCTTCCAAAGTTGGAGAAATCACTTATGGTAACTTATTTTATAAGCACTCTTAAATCTTTAACTGAACCTTAGACATTCTTCTTTACTCCACACTCCTCTATTTACCTAGTAGTTAGTAGGAACCCAGTTGTTAGTAGATTAGTGGTTCCCTTTCGGGGGGGAAATAATCCCTCAAAAAAATTGGTCAGTCAATCCATTACTGTTTGTGGGACACTGCTGTGTGCAATTGGTTACTGTGTTTCATCTACAAAATTCACAGTCAATCCACTTCAGAATATACTCTGTGAAGTGCTTTGAGACATCTCAATGACATGATAAGGCACTACATCAAATGCAAGAATTATTATTATTCGAGGTTCAATGTAGCCATTTATTCATGGAAAGCGAACAATAACATGAATTATATTAGCATGTTGGACTTTATCCATTCTGTTATGTAAGATTATGATCAGGACAAGAACAAATCAAGCATTGAGGATGGTGCAACCAAAACCTAAAGCTTTACCTTGGGATGTATAGTATCTTCCAATCAATGCCAGATATATATTTTAAAAATTGGTCACGTCAATCCATGACCGTTTGTGGGACACTGCTGTGCGCAATTGGCTGCCGCATTTTACACACAAATGTAGTCAATTCATTTTACAGTATATTCTGTGAAGCACTTTGAGGCGTCTGGAAGACATGAAAAGCACTATATCAAATACAAGGATTATTATTATGACTCAGTTGGAAGTATTCTTCCATCAAGATTACTAAGACTGTGAATTCAAGCCCAATGTCTGGACTTCGAATTCACAATTTAGCCTGACACTCTTTTGCAATGCTGGGGAGCCACTACATTGTCAGTGGAACTATCCTTCGAATGAGATGTTAAACCATATTTCTGTCTGCCTGTTCAGGTGGATGTTAAAGATCCCATGGCACTATTCGGAAAGAGATGGGAATTTCTCCTGATATCCTGCCCAAGAATCCCCCAGATAAAATGCATTCTCTTCATGGTTGCTTGTGCAATGTCAAATTGGGTGCTGCATTTGCCTACACCTGCAGTGTACCCAAGGCTCCATCCTTGGCCCCCTTCTTTTCCTCATTAACATGCTACCTCTCAACAATGTCATCTGCAGACATGGGGTAAACTTCCACATGTATGCGGATGACACCTAAATCTACTTCTCCGCCACTTGTGACTCTTGATCCACTGATCTTCAGCTTGTCTGTTGGACATCAAAGCCTGGATGAGCAAAAAAATCCTTCAGCTTTACATCAACAAGACGGAAGCCATATTCCTTGGCTCCCATTGACATCGTCACTCCTGTCCTGCGGTTCTAACCTTCTCAGCCTCTCCCTAAGATTTACCGAATCTGTACATAACCTTGGCATCAGGTTCGATCCAGCTATCCTTCCTATCCCACATCCAGTCCCCAATCAGGGCTGATTTCCTCCACCTCTGTCACATGGCCTGCCTCCAACTGTACCTCATACCCAATGCAACTGAGACCCTCATCCATGCTTTTGTCACCTCCAGCCTTGATTATACCAATGCCCTCCTCACCAGTTTCCCCAGCTCCAATTCAACAAAATCCAACTCAATCTCTCCACCTTGCCCTCACCTTCCTCTTTTCAGATCTCACCTGAAGATTTCCTCTTCAACTGTGCTTACAATCACCTCATCCCTCCCCCCAGCTCAGCATCAGGGTCCAACACGGTCAAGCATGCCAAGACATTACCCCACATGAAGGGCACTATATAAGACATTTTGTTGACATATTAAAATATTATATCAAATGTAAGGATTCTTATTATTTATGAAATTTTTAAACAGCAGAAATCCAGAAATGATCTATATGGAACTGTACTATTCATTGGCCCTAACATCACGTTCTGCTTACTATTGCTCAAGCAGTTTTCAATTAAATCATTTGTCTTGTTTTTTACGTATACTAATAAAACGACAATGTCTGTCTGCGCTTCAAGAAGGATCTCAATAACCGATTGATGTAAAGACATGATTTGTATCGAAAAGTTCATTCATCGGAGGTTATACATCGGAAAGGTCTTGCATTTGGGAGTGACATGGGCATATTTGTTTTCGGGTATCTCCTATTGTTTATGAGTTATTTCAGGGGTTTTTTCACTGCAGTTACATTTGATGGCTGCTGAGTCAAATGTCGCTGTGGCATCGTGTGTCAAAGAGCACTTATATATGTACGCACACACTACAGTTACATCTGGTGGCATCCTGCGTCACAGAGCACGGACGTAGCCAAGCAATGGGAACAAAATAAAGAACACAGATGAAGCTAAGCCACGGCAACAGCAACAAAATAATATTTTTAAAGCGCCTTTCACATTGGGAGGACGTCCAAGTGATTATAAATTATACATTTATATTTATCATTATAAAGATTGCTAAGTGAAAATCAAACCTTTCAAGGATAAGTAAAAATGCTAGACAAAAGAGAGAAGGCCCATTAAATGAAACTGAAGAACAAAATCCTCCCACAGGAGTCCTCTCAGGTGAGTATAGATAAAGATGAAATGTCTGTTTGTGTGTCTATCTGTGTGTCAATCTACATTTCATATTGGATCCTTTGGTTGCAAGCGTAGCTGCAATGGGTACAGCTGGTATATTACAAATAAGTACAAATAGAATCCAAGCTCAGAGTTTCTATTTAATAATCATATCCATTTGAAATACATTTTATAAACATAGAATGGTACCTATTATGTTGTAAAACTTAGGTCATTTGTTGCCACAGGAACTCATTCATTTGCACCTATTCAGTCAGTAACTTGCAGATTACAAATAATGGTATGTTATGAATAAATTACCATTACTACTTTTTATTCTATCACAACCCTATTATTTTACACAATTGTTGGTCTATCAGCTAGTTTTTCTTTAATTGACATTTAGCTGCCACATCAATCAATCAATTAATCATTTTTCTTAATCTTCACATGACCAGATATGCATGTCAGGCCTTATGGATAGCTATAGGATGATTTTTCACTCATCATTAAATGTGCAGACCTTAGGCCTGAAATATGATTGTAAGACTATTTGTCTTCATACCTAAGATCATGCAGAATTGTGGAAAATCTTTCAATTCCATATCAATTTAGATGCGGTTTTCAGATGTTAATAAAAGGAACCAGCATCTAAATTAAAGACTGAATTGAAGAATTTCCACAATTCTGCATGATCATAAATTTCAAGACAAAATTATCTTAATGGCTAAGGGTGCCCTTCGAGCACTGTAGCAGTGATATCATGCTGCACTTTGCTTCACACATTTCCAGACTTTGGCAATGTGCAGATATATTATGGGATTTGCTGACAACTGTAAAATCAACCCTTTAATGCTTGAGACCCCTTTAGATAACTAATATCCCACCCTCAGTACTTAAGTGCTCTGATTGTACATTATACAGTAGGTTCAGCTACAAAAACGGCAATAGCACCATTGTAGTAAGCCAGCTTTTTAGAAAAAAGATATCATCTTCATAACGGTTGTCTTGCAATATATGAAAAGGCAGAAATTTCATCAATTAGCTGACAGCAACTATTGGTTCTACTGCCAAAATATCTGTCTTTCCTGACTGTGTGTTGGAGCGAAGATTCTGAGGCACCACTGGTTCCCTCTTGAAGTTCCTATGCGCAGGCCAAGCTAGTCTATAAGAAGGGGCTGTGGAGGGGAGGATGGCTTCTGGTACAGTACGCTCTCTTCTGCATATATTCAAAAGAGATTTTAGTTCAGAGCGAAAACTCTCATTAAGCCAGCAGTAGATAAAAGGGTTGTAGCAGGTGCTGCTCATTGCAAACCAATGGAAAGCAAAAAAGAGAGCATTGTTGGTGCGAATGGTTTGGCTAGAGATAAGGACCACATAACAATTCAAAGGAAACCAACACACAGCAAATACCACCACAACCAGCATCAGCATTTTAATTGTCTTTTTCTTTTTCCTTCGATGTGCGAAATATTGCTCTGTTGTCACGTCCCCAATGGCATTGCGAAGCCATAGCTTCTTGGCGACCATGGTGTAGGTGATAGTGATGATCAAAAGAGGCAGCACATATAGCAGGATAAAGGTGGCCAGATCCAGGTATTTCCAGAATAGGTCTGCTGGTTCTGGGAAGTCTGGGACGCACAAACTTCGAATCTTTTCTATGCTGCAATTATTTAAAAAACATAAGATTTTTAACATATATCATTTAGTATAATTATAATTAATACTTTGAAGAATTTATTACAGCAACAACAACTTGCATGTATATAGTATATAGGATGTAGGGTGTCTCAGAGTGCTCAGTGGTGGTGGAGCTTGACTTGAATAAAACAATTATAAACCTTGTTATGCTTTTATTTGAATTAATGCTATTCTAGAATGATATTTCTTTGTGGTAGAATTTCTGGGAATATTGTATTGTTACATGTCATTTAATATTTTGCATTGTAAATGACTGCACTTCCATAAAAAAACCTGCATTGATCTGTTCAGAAGCTGTAAACATAATGCGATTATAGCAAGAATTGTTTAATAATAATCCTTGCGTTTGATATAGCACCTTATCATGTCTTTCAGATATCTCAAAGCGCTTCACAAGTCTGTGAAAAGTTTGGCACCCATATTACTGGGCTAGTCTTTAAAAAAAACTAATAAGTTGTGCATTTGATATAGTGACTTGTCACACTAAGACTTCTCAAAGTGCTTCAGAGTTTTCTGTAGTGTAGTGAAGTAAGCCTGCGTTTGTCTACAAATCCGGCAGCCAATTTGCACACAGCAATGTCCCACAAACAGTCATGAAATGAATGACCAATTTTCTGGGAGACTGTTGGCTAGGACATTGGGAGAAGCGCTCTTCTCTTTTTGAATAGTGCCATAGGATCCTTGACATCCACAAGAACAGGCAAGTGGGACCTTGGTTTAAAGTCTCCTCCAAAAAGGGCAGAGGAGTATCTAGGGTGGAAGCATTGGAAGGATCGAAATCAGTATTTGTCTGACTTGGCTCCACTTGTCTGCCTCCTCCCAACATGGCTCTGATTGACAGTCTGGGCTGTCAGTCAGTCAGCAGGTGGGTTGTGGACAGATGAAACAGCAAAACGATCGCGAAAAGGTACAAGTGAGTTTGGGCTGACTTTGGCCAACTTCAAAGTGATTGGGGGGGAGGAGTCGTGAGCCTCTCTGAGTCTCTCCTCTCACTCCTGACCCCACCAGTGGAAAGAGAGCAAAAATGCAGTGCTCCCCCATTGGAATGTCAGGCTGGACTAAAACATAACAATTTATAAATGACAAATGGCTGTGGACTTGCCTATTAAGATTTTATTTTTTATAACGGTTTCTGAAAGGGCCCTACACAGGGAATTATGTTTTTTTTTAAACATAATTTAAACATTAAATTATTTTTTAAACATTAAAAGCGAAACGGAAGGCCTAATTTTTCAAAGAATAACAATGTACTCAAATTCCACGCAAATTCACTGCATGTGAAATACAGAGAATAACAATCTACATGTATTTGCATAGATTTACCTGTATTCGAATTTGAAGAGTTTCTGATAGATTGCGTGGGGGAGGGAGAAACAGCAGCCCATGACCCAGATGATAGTGATGTAAATCACACCCTTGTCGGTTGACATACGTGGTTTCAGAGGATGCATAATAACCTATACAAAATGACAGCAGCCTATCAAATAAATAGGAATCAAGCAATGCATTACATTGTGCAATTTCAGCCCCAAACTGCTACCTTACATCTAAAGTGACCTTCTAATTTGACCGCGATCGTGAGAATTACTTGAGTTATTCTTTAGTCCCAGAACAGAAGGGGTTTCTGCTGGAAGCAATGCTCTCAAGCACGAATGCCGGCTCCAAAATACAGATCTTCTGGGAATATTGTATTGTTACACTTTAATTAATATGTTGCATTTTAATTGACTACGCCTCCAAAAACAAACTCCGTAGAGAATTAAGAGAAAGGAAGAAAGGAAATGTAATGTAAAGGAGAGTAAGAGAGTGATTGGGGAGAGAAGGGGTGGGTGGGGAGTGTTGAAGCGACAGTAGATTTTAATTTAGACAGATACACGTTGAACTGTAGAGGGTCCCAATGTCAAATGAAGAATGTCGTTGCAACTTGTGAGCCTTGCCCTTTATTCAGGGGGGGTTTAAACATTTCCCACTGATGCCTGCATTTTGCAGGTGAGATCAGCAATGGCACAATCAGCACCAAGTGCTGAACAGCACCAGATCTGAGAGAGAGAGAGAGAGAATGAATGAATGAATGAATGAATGGGCTGAGCCGGAGTGAGCAAAATAGGGACCTCAGAGGTAATAGCATCACGTGTATCAATCCCAGCAGGAAGGGACAAATATGGATTGCCTTCCTCGGTTCCAGCTTAGTCACCAGAAGCAAACTGTGCGCGGGTGCAACATATTTCATGTATTTAGTGACTCGGGAAAGGTTACAGTAAGGATATCCGCTGCTGCGAGTTGGCTGTGGGCTTGTGAGGACATGCATCGATGCCCAAGGTCACTGGGCGTTATTCGTGGTGCAAATAGGACGGCGAGTCTGCAAATTCACTGCGATTGATTCGAAATATGGATTTCAGAAGCGAAGAGGTTGGAATTAGATGATGCAGGAGATAGTGCGAAATGCAACGTTAGTTGCCTTTGGGAGTGGAGGCTACACTGGCAGCTCAGCTACGGCTTACAGGGCGGTTTCACCAGGACCTTTCCATTCTTTACACGAATGCATCCCTCGGGAAATATATCAAAGGCAAAAGCAATTGTATCGCATTTTTGTTCCAGGTTTTTTTTTTTCTCTCAACAAATTCGGAACAACAATGCAATCTTGTTGTCCTGCCTCCAGCTTTACATTCTCTGCAGTGAGTGAGGGCAGGAAACCAAGTGAAACCATATTGTGGAGCTGCATTTGTCTTAACCACACTGTTAGATTTTCAAATGTACTTCATTTGATAGTGATTTGGACATCCCCCACCCCACCCCTTCGTATCACAAGGAACTTTTTTTTCGTAAGACTGGTTAGGAGCTTTTTTTTATGTTAATGCAACAGCAGTCAAGTTTGCATTCATTCAGCAAGGTTGCACTACATAGAAATAAAAGTTAGTGTCTGGAAACTTCTCAAGGAGATGAACTAGGAAATATTTGTACACTTCCTCTCTCCCCCCCCCCCCCCCCCTCCCTTCCTGAAGGATATTGGGTTGTTGTAAACTGATCAGTACCTGATGTCTGTCCAAGGCAATAGCTGTCAGGGTAAGAGTGGAGACGTGTAGGGAGCAATACTGAGCAAAGCGACTGATGTGACACATGACCTTCCCGAAAACCCAAGTGCTGTTCACAAACCGGACCTGTCAATCAGAATCACCAGAAAAGGTTACTCAAGCACTGCAATGTTCATCAGAGATAAGACAGGACAGAAGCTCGACAATATAGGATAGATTGCCTGTCGGCGAGGCATACGAGGCAATCCATCAGGCACTAAATAAAAGGGTAGAAGTTAAGTTCCCAAGGTTAAAGATAATACAAATAAAATATTTTTCGCAAATAAATCATGTCTTTGTGATTGTATTTAATAATGAATACAGTTAAATGCTAGTGTCATCTTAAACGTTTTGTTAGGTTTACTGCTCTATGATTATATTGATTAAAAACTATGAAAGTTACACCAGTGCTATAAGAATCTTTCCACACCTGCTGCAAACCAGCATTCCCTTCAGCTACCTTGGCACATCAAGCAAAGCTTACTATTAAAATCGCGCGTTTTAGTTATCTGTGGTATTCACCTGCATCTACAAACATTGGATGACTTAAAAAAAATGAATACATGTCGTGCGTGAAAGGCTATTTGAAGTGGAAAGTACACCTGTGGACAGGTGTTCAATAAACACAGAACTACACTCAGACACTGAAAGCGCCCGAGGAATTCTATTGCGTTATTGAATAGTTATTTACTCTGTTTATATAGTCTTATTGAAATTCAGATACAGTAGAGACTCTGAGTGAGATGGACACATAAGGCGACGTGTTTGGAGCAGGACTGAGTGTATGATTGACAATCTAACCAGTTAGCACTGCTGGCCATGCTCAACTGACATGAGTATTGATATGTGATATAGACTTCTCTTGCACAGAAAGGTAGCCCGGTGGAGAACATGGTTATTTTTATACCTGGTGCTGAGCTTGGGACATGATGCGAATATCGAGTGGAGTACAGACTTTTAGGAAATCCCGACGTAAGTCGATCCACGTCAATGTCTACATTGGACGCAAAAATACCAAAGGCTATGTTGCTTATTGCACAGATTGAAACAGATCAGTCCCACCCGCTGCACCGTGTGTAATTTTGATTCAATGCAACTTTCTCCCCCACCCTCCGCCGCTGCTGGTGACTGGTTGCAGTTGTTTCATTGTGACTAAAGCAGAGTCTGGTTGAAACTCTGCATTTGCACGGCTCGGGAGAAGAGTTCAGCCTTACCAGAGTGAAAGGAGTATTGAGAAGAGTGATCATGATGTCCGCTATGGCCAGGTTAACGATAAACAGGCTGGTGGCAGAGTGCATCCGTTTATTCTTTATCACGACCTGGCACACCAGGACGTTTCCAAAGAGAGAGATGACTATGATAACGGAGTAAGCCACGATCAGCAAAGCTTTCACCGTCGCATGTTGGGATTCCGCCTCGTATTTTGCCGAGTCCACAAAGCTCTCCCAATCGTCCAGAGTGAAGTTGCCCCACGGAAAGGACACCGACCTGTTAAACATGACGCGCGACCCGGGGCCGCCGGTGTTACAGAGCCGGTGCCGTTCTTTCAGGAGTATCGGCTGCGGTAAGGAAGCGAGAGAGCGAGAGAGAGAGAGAGAGAGAGAGCCCCCACCTGGTGCACAGACACGACCCCGGGTGTTTAAAACCCCTCTCGGCAAAGTTCTGCTTCTGCAAAGTTACTGCGGGGTGTGAGTGCGAGCAACTGGGCTTTCAGGTGGGACATCAATGTACCAACCATTCAGATCCGGCCATGTGCCCTCACAGCCTCCAGCTCCAGTGCCTCGGCCGCCGAGGAAGTCCCGGGAGCTTTGCTGACTGTGTGCTGAGTGCCAGTCCAGTGTTTGGCCGCTGTTTATTATTGCAGCGCTGTGATGTGACATCTTATTGCTGTCGGTTCTGTTGATGCTTTATATATATATATATATTTATATATATATATATGAATGGAGCTGGAAACCCACGCACATGGTGACACACACTGCAGCCAATTGAAGCTCCTGCCTCTTCTAAAACAACTGACGTCTTCTTTTCGTCAAAGATCGCCCCTTCCTCCTCCATGACCTGAATAGTATCACAGCGTTGTCTTCTTTTGTATTCCGCAGAACCAGGTAACAGTCAGATGTGATTAAGGAAAAGCAAGAGCTCTGCTCTTTCAATAAGACCACCCCCCCCCCCCCCCCCCCCCCCACGCCCCCACCATGATATCCGTGATCTTCTTTCCTCCACTCCTTCAAAATACATTGATGCCACAAAGAAAAAAAAACTGCAAAATAATTCAACTGCAAACGTGTTCCAAGCTATATATTTATATACACACACATATATATATATATATATATATATTTAGAAACTCTTAGTAAAATTTAACAGAGTCGTAACTTTTTTTTCCCCCCACGCACTGCATTTCCCCTTTGAGCTCTTGAAGTCTATCTGCAGTAGTAATTCATTCATAAAATCCATCCGAGTTGAAATGCGTTTGCTTTAAGATATTAGCATTGGTTGTAAATGGGGAAGACGGGATGAATTCATGAAGTTTCAAATTCTGGCATTGTCGGATCGCATTGCCAACCCGGGGTGAAATAAAGAGCATTTTGTTGGATTGCTGTCTCCCTGCCTTAGGATCGAAGCAATAATTATAAAACTCCACTGCATCTCCTGTTTCCCTTCGCCTGGCTGTCCTCCACAGGCAAACATTCCCCTCACCTAACAAATGTATTCCAATAGCTTTGCGTAGGTGTTTGTACAAGAGGGAGCCTTGCTCCTATTTCCAGTTCGTTTGATAAACTTCTGCAGATCCCTCTTTACCCAGTTTCGACCAGTCTGCAACATATTTATTATTTGCCTTGATCCGGTATTTGACAAAGTCGGGGGCTAATCTTTATAATTCTGAGCACAGATGTTGCAGGAAATGTGTAACCCCGCATCATTTGGCAGCCACCAGGCAGCCACTTACTCCTAAAGTTATTTGCATATATTTGCTGTAAACTAGTGCTATTTGACCACTTATGGAAGGAGGTTTGTGCATTCATTTGCGGCCAAGGACTTGCTTCCTTTCATCCTTCATTACAAATCTCACCACCGCTCCCTCTAATCATAATAATAATCCTTGCATTTGATATTGTCTTGGAAACGTCTCAAAGCACTTCACCAAATATACTGTACTATATATTTTGTGGGTGAATCGTGGCAGCTAATTGAGCGCAGCAGTGGCCCACAAACAGTCATGGATTGAGTGATCAATTTTTTTTTGAAGGAATTATTCCCCCGGAAAAGCGATCCGCCAATTGACTAACAACGGGGATCCTACTTTTAAGCGCTCTGTGATGCTACCCTTCGTCGAGGGCACTATATAAATGCAAGTTGTTGTTGTTACCTGTCCCTCTCCTCTGGCTCTGTCCCCATTCCCTTAAAAACTGCCACCATCACGCCCACCCTGAAAAAACCCTCCCTTGATGCGTCGCAGCTATCAAGCTACCGGCCCATCTCCAACCTCCCCTTTCTCTCCAAGGTCTTGGAAAGAGTTGTCGCCTCCCAACTGCGCTCTTTCCTTTCCACCCATTCTCTTTTCGAACCCCTTCAGTCAGGTTTCCGTGCTGCCCATAGCACAGAAACTGCCCTGGTCAAGGTCACCAATGATATCCTGACCATCTGTGACCAGGGCTCCCTCTGCCTCCTCGTCCTCCTCGACCTATCGGCAGCATTCGATACGGTCGACCACGCTATCCTACTCCACCGCTTGTCCTCCCACCTCAACCTTCAAGGCACTGTCCTTGAGTGGTTTAGGTCGTACCTTTCTCACCGTCTTCACTTTGTCTCAACGAATGGCTTCTCCTCCACCCCCCGTACTGTCTCATGTGGAGTCCCTCAGGGCTCTGTCCTTGGTCCCCTCCTCTTCACCCTCTATATGCTCCCCCTCGGTGACATCATCCGCAGACATGGAGTTAACTTCCACATGTATGCGGATGACACCCAACTCTACCTTTCCTCCTCTACTCTCAACTCCACGACCACCGATGTCCTGACAGCCTGCCTGTCCGACATCGAGTCCTGGACGAGAGACAACTTTCTTCAGCTCAACGTGCGAAAAACCGAGGCCCTCCTGATTGGCTCACGTCAGCGCCTCCGCACCTCAGGCGCCGACACCATCAGCATCCAAGGCTGCACTCTCCACCTCTCAAAGCCAGTCAGGAACCTCGGCGTTTTGTTCGACCCTGAGCTGTCCTTTCTCCCTCACATCCGCACCACAACTGGCACCGCCTTCCATCACCTCCGGAACATCGCCAGACTACGGCATTACCTCACCCCTCACGCCGCTGAAACCCTGGTTCACGCCTTTGTCACCTCAAGGCTGGACTATGGGAACTCTCTCCTCGCCGGCCTTCCCGCCACCTCCCTCCACAAGCTGCAGGTCATTCAGAACTCTGCAGCTCGTGTACTGTCCCGCACCAGGCTTCGGGACCACATCACTCCCACCCTCGCTCGCCTCCACTGGCTCCCCATCCCCCAGAGGATTGATTTCAAGATCCTCATCCTCACCTACAAGGCCATTCACGGCCTTGCTCCCTCCTACCTCTCCAACCTACTATCCCCCTACCTACCTGCCCGTACCCTCCGTTCCTCCGGCTCCGGTCTGCTCCACGTCCCCCGCCCCAACCACCCTACCATCGGTGGTCGGGCCTTCAGCCTCTCAGCCCCGAGGCTCTGGAACTCTATCCCCCAGTGCCTTCGCCGCCTCCTCCCTTTCCTCCTTCAAGGCCGGTCTCAAAACCTTTCTCTTTGACCGTGCCTTCAGCTCCCCTCTCGACTCTCTTCCCCCTTCTCGCTCCCTCCCATCCCTCCCCTCACCCTGACCATTTCCCCCCTCCTCGCTCCCTCCCCTCCCTTCACCCTGACCATTTCCCCCCTGCTCGGGTCATGACCCAACTGTGCAGCGCCTTGGGACGTCCTCCTGACGTGAAAGGCGCTTTATAAATGGAATCTTGTTGTTGTTGTTGTTGTTGTTACTTATTGCTAGGTAAACTGAGGTGGGTGAATGAAGAAATTTGCCCAATGTTTCGTCCTGCCGGGAATCAAACCCAGGTCGCTCGCTTGCGAGGCAAGTGCTCTAACCACTGAGCTACAGGACTCCACTGATTGGAACAGACATTGAGTCCATCTAAAAAGGCCTGGAAAGGATAACAACAATTTGCATTTATATAGCATCTCAGAGTGCTTAAGACGCTACCCCCGTGTGTAAGTGCTATATACCTAAAAATGGCACGTTTTATGTCTCAACAAGTGTTTTTTGCTATATGGATATCATATAGCTATCAAAAGGAACTAGATATCTAAAACGGAGTAAACTGCAGGGGTAATGGAGAAAGGGCAAGTAAATGGGACTGGAAGAATTAACACAATAGGCCAAATGGCCTTCTATGATGTAAATGTATATGGTTCTATGGAAAAGAAATATGCCACAGTCAAGAGTAAAATTTGGATAGGGGTCAGTGGTGTGTTTAAAAAACCCAAATGATAATAAAAATAATAATAATAACTGCTGCTATCATGTTGAAAATGCAGTGTCTTAAGTATCTCAGTGCAGGAAATAGTTATTAACTTAAATACACACAGATGCATACATTAAACTGCAGAGCACAGACTCGGAAACGAAACACAGAGACAAATTTTCCTAAAGTCTGGGAGCAAATATTTTTAAGAACCAATTGGAGGAAAACATTATAAAAGCAACATCAACAGCAACTTGCATTTACTGGAGTCCTGTAGCTCAGTGGTTAGAGCACTCGCTTTGCAAGCGAGAGACCCAAGTTCAATTCCAGGCAGAGGGCGAAACCTTGGGCAAGTTTCCTTACTCCATACGCCTAATAATAATCCCTCCAAAACCAAAACAATAATAAATTGGTCATTTTCAATCTACGACTGTTTGTGGGACATTGCTGTGCGCAATTGGCTGCCGCGTTCGCCCACAAATATACAGTCAATTCACTTTACAGTGTGTTCTGTGAAGCGCTTTGGGACGTCCTCCCGACGTGAAAAGCGCTATATCAAATGCAAGGATTATTATATAACGCTCTTAAATCAGGATAGCATCTCAGAGTAATAAGAGTGTTACTTGATGACAGTATTTATCATTGTACCTTTCTGTTAGTATTTTAAAAAAAGTGGCCAATCTTGGTAAGAGTCTAAAATGCAGATTCGGTTAATACCCCATGGATTAACCTGATTCAAGTTCATACAGATTCCCTTAATTATGTAAATAATCATATTTATCTAAACCCACATTTGGGCTTTTAGCTCACAGTGTAGGCTATTACTCCACCACAGTGCTGGGCTGGAGAACTGCCTTGCCGGAGGTGCCATCCTTTAGATGAGACAATATATAATATTATAATAATAATAATCCTTGCATTTGATATAGTGCTTTTTATGTCTTATAGACGTCTCAAAGCGCTTCACAGAATATATTGTAAAGTGAATAAAATGAGGTCCCATTTGTCTGTTCAAGTGGGCATTAAAGATTTCAGG